GATGGTCAGTTTGAACTGCAGCAGATCGTCTTGACCATGTCTACATGCCTAAATGCATCGAGTTGCTGCCATGTGACTGGCTGATCAGAAATTTGCGTTAACAAGCATTTGGAGAGGTGTACCTAATAAAGTGGCCGGTGAGTGTAAAACACAGTTGACATCAGTGGAGGAGAGAGATGTTCACAGCCACAGAGCAGTACATATTAGGGTGATTGTAATTAAAACTAGAAAATTTCCTCACAGAAATCACAACGATAGTGCCACGGGTGTCTGTCGTGACCTTTAAATGACTATTTTATAATTACCAAACCTACTAAAAACTTTGAATAATCTAAGCCTCAGCTGTGTGAAGCGTGTGTGTGAGCGGGGGGGGGGGGGGGGGGGGTTTGAGTGTTGCCGGGCAACGAAGCACACAGCTGCAACAGACACTTGTTGAACTGTCAAATCAGTAGAAGACACCAGAAGGAGAAGACCTCAAACAACTGCCATTTTCTTCAAAACTGTGTGTCGGAGAGAAAAGCTGAGTGCATTTTCAGAGAGCCAAGACCTTGGGCATTACAGAGATGTATTTTCGTTTGTTTTCCTAGAGTGAAAACTGAGCGCACAGTCATTTGAGATAAAAATGTGTAAACTTCTGGTCCTGGTCCTGGTCAGTAGCCGTCTTTGAATGGGTGTGGATGGGGAAGGAAGAGAGACTTGTGGAGGAACAAGGCTCCAAAACCAAACCCCCCCCCCCCCAAACATAATTCTGTGGGCTTCCAAAGTGACATTGTGAGAGGGAGGACAAATTTTCCTACGTTTTATGTAAAAATGATGACTTTCGCATAAAAATTGTGGCCAGGGCGACAAGTTAAAAAAAACTTTACTGTGTGATTTTTTTCTGAGCTCCACTCTAGTGATGTCATCACTCACTCTAAAGGACCACATACACACCCATTGTAAAGGCTGAAAAGGGGTGAAAAAGTTTAAAAACTTGAGAGGTTGTCAGGAAGAAACAGTTGAAGATATGAAAAAAGTTGAAAAGCTTTGAAATAGGGGAAGGCCGTGTCAACATTTTAAAGTTTAAATGGAGTGTCTAGGTGAAAGTATGCCTGAGCAGTGGAGGTTTGAAAAGTAGTGTAATTTTGTGTGGTTTTCACGTCCGTCCCATTCATTAAGCGACGTTTTGGTGAATTGCGTGGCGAAAAATGCATTTTTTGTAAATCTGTATGCAAGCACACTATTCCCGATAGAGCCGCACGTTTTGATGTATAATTTGTGTGGGTGCTCTCAAATCTGTGGGAGGAGTAGCCGGCCGAAATTTTGTACGGAAGAGTCGAAATAATAACAAAAAGCGCACCAGGATAACAATAGTGGCCTCGGGCTTTGCCCAAGGCCCTACTTGTACTCTGTGTAAATTATATAAGTTAGTTGAAGTGCGGGCTGCAAGGTGGCGCAGTTGGTAGCACTGTTGCCTCGCAGCAAGAAGGTTGCCGGTTCGCGTCCCGGTGGCACCGGAATCTTTCTGCGTGGAGTTTGCATGTTCTCCCCGTGCAGCGTGGGTTCTCTCCGGGTTCTCCGGCTTCTTCCCACACAGTCCAAAAATATGTTGAGGTTAATTGGTGATTCTAAATTGTCCGTAGGTGTGAATGTGAGTGTGCTTGGTTGTCTGTCTCTAAGTGTGGTGATGAACTGGCGACCTGTCCAGGGAAATCAAAAAAGTAGAAATGCTTTGAAATAGAGGACAGACGCGTCAACATTTTAAAGTTTAAATGGAGTCTCTAGGTGAAAGTATGCCTGAGCAGTAGAGGTTTGAAAAGTAGTGCAATTTTGGGTGTTTTTTTCGTCCGTCCCATTCATTTTCAATGGGAGATATTTGCGACGTTTTTGCGAATTGCGTGGCTAAAAATGCGTTTTTCGTAAATCTGTATGTAAGCACACTATTCCCGATAGAGCCGCACGTTTTGATGTAGAATTTGTGTGGGTGCTCTCAAAACTATGGGAGGAGTAGCCAACCGAAATTTTGTACGGATGAGGAAAAACAACTAGAAAATTTCCTTGCAGAAAATTTGAGAGTGCCACGGGAGTCTGCCGGGATTTAAATGATGATTTTATAATTACCACACCTACTAAAAACTTTGAATAACCTAAGCTTCAGCTGTGTGGAGAGAGCAGGGGGGGAGGGGAGGTTGGGAGTAGGGTTAGAGCGTTGCCGGGCAACCAAGTACACAGCTGCAAGGAAGCACACAGCTGCAACAGATACTTGGTTTAACTGTCAAATCAGTTGAAGTGACCAGAAGGAGAAGACCTCAAACAACCGCCATTTTTGTCAAAACCGTGTGTCGGAGAGAAAAGCCGAGCACATTTTCAGAAAGCCAAGACCTTGGGCATTACAGAGATGTATTTTTTGTTTTCCTAGAGTAAAAAATGAGCGCACAATCATTTGAGAAGAAATCTGTAAATTTGTGGTCCTTGAGAAAACTCAGTAGCCGTCTTTGAATGGGTGCAGATGGGGAAGGAAGAGAGACTTGTGAAGGAACAAGGCTCCAAACCCCCACCAAACTTAATTCTGTGGGCTTCCAAAGTGACAGTGTGAGGGGGAGGACAAATTTTCCTACGTTTTTATGTAAAAATTATGTCTGTGGCATAAAAATTGTGGCCAGAGCGACAAGTTAAAAGAAAGTTTACTGTGTGATTTTCTTCTGAGCTCCCACTCTAGTGATGTCATCACTCACTCTAAAGGACCACATACACACCCATTGTAAAGGCTGAAAAGGGGTGAAAAAGTTTAAAAAGTTGAGAGGTGATCACAAAGAAACGATTGAAGATATGAAAAAAGTAGAAACGCTTTGAAACAGAGGAAGGGCGCGTCAACATTTTAAAGTTTAAATGGAGTCTCTAGGTGAAAGGATGCCTGAGCAGTGGAGGTTTGAAAAGTAGTGTAATTTTTTGTGGTTTTCTCGTCCGTCCCATTCATTTTCAATGGGAGATTTTTGCGACACTTTCGCGAATTGCGTGGCGAAAAATGCGATTTTTGTAAATCTGTATGAAAGCACACATTTCCCGATCGAGCTGCACGGTTTGATGTATAATTTGTGTGGGTGCTTTCACATCTGTGGGAGGAGTAGCCGACTGAAATTTTGTACGGAAACCCTGAAATAATAAGAAGAAGCGCACTAGGATAACAATAGTGGCCTCGGGCTCAGCCCGTGGCACTAATTACAAACTAATGACTATATTGCAATGACATTTATCCTCTGAAACACAAGACATGACAGGTTTGAAAGGCATGTTTTTTTAAATTGTTTTTAATGCCTAAAATCAGACCATAAGCCAGAAACTGTAAAACAGACAGCATTTTCAACTTGTATGATGTGCCAGTCAGTCAAAAAAAAAAAAAACCACTTTTAAACTTAAAATTGTGATGCATTATCAAAATCCCTTTATTCTACATGTTGCACTCAAAAATTCTGAAAAAATAACCCTTGATTCTGCAAAAACTAAGAAGTCCTAATCAAGTCTTCATGCTAATGTGACTAGCAGCTGGCTTTAGCTTCACATTATGTGTACAGATATGGAGGCAGTATCAATCTGTTCATCTTGCTCTTAAAAAGGAAGTAAATGAGTGTATTTCCCAAATTTTAGAACTTTTCTTTTACCCATAACATCCATCCCTTTTTCTAAAAAGAAAGACTAAAAGCTTGACAGCATTTTGTTTGTTGGACTTGTGGTGAAAACGATGTGCAGCATGTCGTGACTGCCCTTATAAATGATCAAAAAAACTTACACTGCCATTTTGCTTTGTATGTACTGTTATTACAAAGTATGGAGCTCTTGCTGCTGCTGCTGTTGTGATACTGGTAAACTAAAATGGTTTACACTGCTTGAATTGTAACACTTTGTGCTTTCAACCAAAGACTCAAAATGTGCTGATCCTCTGTAAATGGCAGAGGCAGCATTTCTACGCGGCTGAGTGAATGTTGCAGTGAAAGAAACCTGATATACAGCAGATTGTTTCAGGGCTGCCGACCTACTGTCCCTAACAGAGACTTCCATGATTTTCATTTCATTAGATCCTGTTAACTTGCTACTTCTCCCTGTGACAGCATCTCGCTGCTTCTTGTCGCTGTTCAGACCCCAAATAACAGCTGAGATCTTGAACACTAGACTATATACAGCCTTAATAGAATCAGGGGCTAGCATCCAACATAAACATGGAAATATCCTTGTGATATTTATGTATTACTATTGGTCTTAGTAATCTCCACTGTCGACCACATCAGATAAAGGACAGATTAACCCGCTTAACCTAGAAGCCAACAGATAAATATGACAAAAAAAAGCTAAAATAAAATAAAAATGGAAAAATCACCCAAATTATACCATTTATCAGAGCCAGGCTCTGTGAAAACAAAAAGAAGTGGGTCTGACTGCAGGTTGTGTTTGCACAGAGCAAATAGGAGACAATATGGAAACAAATTAAAAATCTAGGTAGTAAAATATCTGCAGAATGTACAAGCATCACTTTTTTTCCAGTTGTAGTTATATCTGTAGGCACTTGGAAAAATGTTGCACATGTTGACTCAGATTTTTTTTCTGTCAGTTTTCTTTGCAAAATAAATACTTCAAGAAAGTTAATTTTTGATTATTTTTATTTTTTTATGAAAAATGCCATTTTAATTATGTCATGCTGCACAGAAGTTGTCTCCCCTTCTAGTCATGGTTGTGTTGTTTGCACTGAGGTCCAAGATTGTATTTTACTAAGAAAATTAGCCCACAGTGAGTAAAAATGTGAAAGGACTAGAAAATTCACAGAAATCACTTGGGAATCAGAGTGTTAGGACAGTCTATCCATAACTTCTTGATTAATACTGCTAGGATCAAATTCCCTGCAAAATTAGGCATTTTCAGAGATTGGTAAATAAACATAAATAATTATACCATACAAAGCATATTTACAATCTTTAAATTATAAATACTGTAATGACACCGTTAAAAACCCAGAGCATGTTGTCTCCTCCACAGCACAGGCTCAATGTCTGCACTAAGAGCAAATATCTCAGTTACATCTGGGAAGTGAATCACTCCTCTGGCTGTGGCTATCACTGTATACTTGTTTTCAGCTCCTGCAGGATGTCAGTGCCACTGCTCCAGGCAATGACTCCAGCTCTGAGAGAAGCGCTACCTTCCTGACCTTCCAGTTTGGCGAGCAGTTTCTCCAGAGTGTACCCCTTCCTGGGCATCACAACATCATGCGCTCTGAGGCAAGAAGTGGGGCAGAGGTCATTACCTCCATCTCCCACATAAAAGATACGCTTATACTCCACACCTCTATCAGACTGCTGGGACAGGTAAAGCTCCAGGACTTTTTTCTTGCAGAGGTTGACAGGGCATTGTTTGCAGTCATGAGAGTGATAGCAATGTACCTCCATGCACCCAGACTCATTGAACTTAGCCGGGTTGGTGAAAACCTGGTCAATAGCTGTCTGAAGTCCCGCCACGTGGAGGATCCAGTCTATGAACATGGTGTTGGAGTCAGAGATGACTATGCAGTCAATGAGGCTTTTATTCTCCGATATAAATGTTAGCACGTCTGTCATTCCAGGTGTGAAGGGGATGGTCTCCATCACACTGCGGACCCTGTCAGGGCTGACCTCCTGGTCTCCTGCGTGAAACAATGAAAACATTTCTGGACTTAAGAATGAGCATTTTGGAAGGAGCAATTAAATACCATACAAACAGTATAATGAGCTGTCACCTATATAGTTCATGACCCTTTCCATAAACTCTGTCCAGTGGCCTTTTCTGTAAGAACTCTTCACAGAGTCAGGGAGAGTCTGACTGGGAAGGCATCTGAGAAAAGGAGCAAACAGAAAGATGTTACTTGGATCAGCAGAGTTTATTAGATTGCATCCATTTGGTCCCTGCCCCCAGGGAAGCACTTATTCAATTGACTGATTACTTTTAATCAATAATTGATTGATAACACAAACTACCTTCATTACACAGGCCATTTGACTGTGGAAATGATGTTCATGTCAATTTTGGCTCAGCTTGGTGACACTGAGCAGAAACCATTCAGAATCACAGAAGTCTTTGTCGTGGTGGCCTTTTGCTAGCAAAACCCCCACAATGCTCTCTGCTTCCACAGAACTGCCCACAGGCCTAGTGACCAGGGTTAGTGTCACTACAGTATTAAAGACTAACAAGCTGCAGTCTTCCATCTCATTAAACAGTAAGAGACTAAAGCTTAAGTACAATACAGTTTCTGACATGCCTGTCCTTCCTCTTCTGCCTTATAGGCTAATATATTTTTCGTATTGGTAAAATTATAAACAGCAACTACTACGTACAGTCTGACTCATTTGATGTAGGCTTCAGGTATGACCCTGCCAATTCCGTTGTGCATTTTACGCAGCTTTCATATCCTCTTCCACTATCTGTGTGTTGCCATCTTCAAAATATCCTTCACTACCAGAAACAACTTGTTTTATTTGTTTTTTAATGAATTTGTGATATTAATGACTGTGCTTGTCTTCCAGTATGCAAATGCTGCATCAAAACCATTCCTCCATCACTATTTTACAGGGGGATCATTATGGCATCCTCAGTTGCAAATGTGATCGGCTTTAAGAAACAGACAGTCCAGAGCATTTTCCCCTGTAGCAGACCATTATCAAGCCCTAAAACACGCTGTGGAGGGAGGTCTGGCTTTACAAAACCAATCGACAGGATAGTGTATGTCTGAACTCAATACCAGGGGTGCCCAATCCTGGTCCTCGAGAGCCCCTATCCAGCATGTTTTAGATGTTTCCCTCTTCTAACACACCTGATTCAAATGATCAGCTCATCATCAAGCTCTGCAGAAGCCTGATAACGATCCTGATCATGTGAATCAGGTGTGTTGGAAGAGGGAAACATCTAAAACATGCTGGATAGGGGCTCTCGAGGACCAGGATTGGGCATCCCTGCTCAATACAAAGTGCTGCAGAACCTTATATTTATGCAAATAAAGGTATTTTAATCATTACTTCATATGCAGAAAATGCACACACATAAAAAAGTAGCAGACTGCAGAAAACACACGTTTAATATAGAAAAGATTTTGCTTGTAACGACCGTGAAAGTAATAGAAGTAACAGAACTTTATCACCAACCTGATCACCCAAGTGTCGCTGTTGTCATCAACCACAGTGTGGTCAAAGTCGAACACCATCAGAATCTTCATTTTTCACCTGGAAAAAGATACAACACGTTCGAATGACATGGTGGAGGTAACATTTATGACATTTATGATGTGGGACCTAAAATACACTCAATACAATTATTTTTTAATCAGCACAAGTCGTGAGTAACCCCAGCCAGAACCTTCCCTACTATAAATCCATCTTCTCAATATGCCAATTGCACTACAACATCTCAGTTACTAACGAATTAGTTTTAGTTCTAGTTTTTTTTCTCTATAAATGCAAAGTTTAAACACACTGCGTTGTAAGGAACTCATATTTTACAGGGAGTCTGGCGTAACGTCGTCTGCACAGTAAACGACCCAGGCACCAGCTAATGCTTCCCGTTAAATTCTGTGCCGTTAGCGCACGTCGGGCTGCGGAGGAATAACGGGAGTTACTCTAACTTCTGCTCGACACGGGACGCAACACAATAGGCATAAAGGTTATTTTTCACGGCAAACTGACCTCAACCGCCTGTCATGTGTCCCCGGTCCGTCTTCCTCTTTTTCTTATGTTCCAGGGTGTGCAACAGTCTGCGCTCATTACCGTCACCTGCTGGCAATGCCCCCAAACTGTACCTGAAACGTCCACGCTGGTGTTCGAATATCTGTTTTAATGCTTGCTTTAGAACCAGCTATTACGGTAATTATAGCAATAGTCGAGCCTCGGTTGACCAACACAAGTATAATATTTTAGATATTCAGATACACCCCAAATGGTTTTACTGATAAACATGTGGGAGTTTTACTGTATTGGATGATTTCGTGTCAATATTCGCAAAAAGAATGCACTTCTTGTGGCAGTTCTGCAATTCTCATTTTATAATCATGTCCATTTCTTAGGCTAATTGGAAATCACAGATGTCCTTAATTTTGTTTTAACAGAAAATGTACAAGTTTACGAGTGTTCCTGAAGGTAGCCCTGCCCTCCTCTGACCACTGGGTGTCACTGTCAAACTACGACACGACAGAAAACAGAGGAGAAGAAACACCGCCAGTTTAGTTCCTGGTTGCATAAAGTCTCCTGCTGCTTTTTTCCTTATCTTTAATCTAAACGGACGGTTTCTTTCCAGCAGTATGTTTAGAGGTATAGGGACGTGGCTGGGCCTGGAGAACCCGACGTACACCAAGACGTCGGAGGACAAGGAAGAGCTGATAGTGGAGCCGGAAGAAAAAGTGGTGGAAGCTCAGAACGAGGTAAACAAACAGCAGCCAGCTGAGCAGAATGAAGAACAAGAGGCGAACCAGGAAAACTCGGAGCAGAGCAGAGGACTAGGTGGTAAGGAAGCGCTGCGTCTGACTTCTGTTAGCCCTGCTGCTTTACCGACTACTAGTCCTGCTGCTCTTACCTACTGCTAGCCCTGCCGCTGTTATCTACTGTTAGTCCTGCTGCTCTTACCTACTTCTAGCCCTGCTGCTCTTACCTACCGTTAGCCCTACTGCGGCGGCTGTGGCTCAGGTAGAGCGGGTTGTCCTCTAATCGCAAAGGTTGGCGGTTCGGTCCCCGCCCCCTCCACAGTCCACAGTCGAAGTGTCCTTGGGCAAGACACTGAACCCGAAGTTGCTCCCAATGGCAGGCTAGCGCCTTGCATGGAGCTCTGTCGCCATTGGTGTATATGTGTGTGAATGGATGAATGAGAAACATTGTAAAGCGCTTTGAGTGCCGTGACGGTAGACCATTTACCATTTACTGCTGCTCTTACCTACTGCTAGCCCTGCTGCTCTTACCTACTGTTAGCCGTGCTGCTGTGAGATGATGCATAACATGTGATCAAAGTTATTCACCCTGATGTCAGTCTTTTTGTCATCATGACATCATTTGATCAGCCGAATGCAGTTCTGGTTTCTACCACTGAAATGTAACCAGTGTTTCACCCTCAGTTTTGCTTTTTAACCCCAGCTACAGACAGGATTTGCGGTCTTCAAGTTCATGTGTGTTGTGCTGTGTTATGGGAGTGTCTTGAATAAGCCCACAGTATGATGCTGCTGTTGACCAGCCGTCTCTTTCTCCTGAAGATTACATTTTCAGCTTTGCCTCCAGTGCCACCAAGAAGATCTCAGAATCTGTGGTAGAGACTGCTCAGAACATCAAGAAGAGCGTAGAAGAAGGCAAAATTGACGGCATCATTGACAAGGTATGCTATTCCTCTGGCTTGTTTGACAGGTTTTTCAGCATTTCAAAGATTGCTTTGGGTTACACACATATGCAACTGGATGTAGTTGTGTTTTTAAAGGCAGCTATATCATTTTTATTAGTATGACAAATATTCAGCTTGAAATGTTGTCCCTGAACTTTTTCACCAAATGATAAATGCTGTCCTTTGTGTCTACGTACTTGCAGACTTTTTTAGGAGATTTCCAAAAGGAGCAAGAGAAATTTGTCCAAGAAAAGAAGGCAAAGAAATCAGGTAAAATCAGAAGTGAGAAAAAGAATGTTCTTCCCACTAAACAACCTATTCTTTAAAAGTAATGTCTTTCAAATTATTGTGCCAATAAAAAAAACAAAAAACTTTGCTTTAGAGAGCAAACTAGCTTCCAGTGAAGTTGCATCCTTTGCACTTCATGGTTTATTGGGGGAAACATCTAATAGGAAAATGTAGAAATGTGTCAATTATCTAGTAAGTAATGATAAAGGCACTTTTTCAGGAAAGGGAGAATCTACAGCTAAATCTAATGGATACATGCTGCCCTGCACCACTAAACTACAGATTTTATATTCACAACTGTGTCTGACGAACTCACCAACCATGATAACAGCTTTACTGTGAATTTGCAGTATTTCTATATAAAATTATGACTCCGAGAGAAAGTTGTAGAGAGTTTTCTTCCTAAAGGGGCATGAACAAAAACAACGTAGCTGCATTTAAAGTTCCAGACATGAAACAGCCTTTTCAGAACAGCTCCTAAAACCAGGGCAGTAGGGGTGTAAAGATTGACCAATGCGAGTCGGAAATCGATTTTAACTTTAACGATATGAATACATCGATCTGCGCGCCTCTGAATCGATCTATATCTATTGTGGAGTGGACGAGACTCCCGTGGGACGTATTATGAGAATAATGTTCGCTTAACGTGTTTGCTACCAACAACACAACAGCATGGCCGAGAGTACCGGTACTATTTATAATGCACCCTCTAACCTTAGATCCAAAGTGTGGAAGACTTTTGGATTTTTAAAGAAAGATGGCAAGTTGGACAAAAGTCTGGCCATTTGTAAACTGTGTAAAGGTGCAATTAAATACACTGGTAGCACAACCAATCTCAGCACTCACCTGTTAAGAAGGCACGGAGACACCAGTGCGGGCGATGAGGGATGTGTGGATGCTTGTAGTAGCAAAGCTAGTGTAGCGGAGTTAATGATTCCACTTGCCATCTCTTTTCATGATACAATTGTTTGCTTTTTTGTTTGTAATGTATTGGTTTCCCACTGGGACGGGATGTAATGTTGACGCCCGCTGCTGGGCCCCTGCAGACTTGAAGGGTGCGCCCCGCGTGACTTTTTTGCCAGTCTGCTGTGTCCCGTCTCCGTGTGTGTCCTGAAGTTGGTAAATAAACGGCTGATTGGAACCGAAGGATGAGAGGTCTGGGTTTTTGGTGTATCACAACGCAGAAGATAGTACACTAGCGCGAGCAAGAACGCGCAAGACAAAAGCACTGGTTTTAAAAACTTCTTCCTACTCAGCCACAACTCCGCGAGGTCCAAGGTAATCACGGCATCTATAACCCATTTCATTGCCAAGGATTTAAGACCCTACAGTGTCGTTGAAAGTGACGGATTTCGCGACATGATAAACACGCTAGACCCGAAGTATAAAATACCAAGTAGGCAACATTTCAGTGACAGGTGCAGGCCAGAGATGTATGCTAAAGTAAAAAGCGAAGTTGAAGTTGAAGAAATGCAGAGCGAGTGGCAATTACAACCGACGCCTAGACTCATATGTGACCATTACAGCGCACCACATCACTCCCAGTTAGGAGTTACAAAGTCATGTTTTACAGACACTTTGTTGAAAGAAGCATGTGCTAATTGGGACATTGCTGATAAAGAAGCAGCCCTGGTAACTGATAATGCCAGAAATATGATTCTAGCTGGCGTGGAAGCAGAGATGACCCCTCACCTTGCCTGCTTTGCTCACACATTAAATCTGGCCTCCAAGAAAGCCTTTGAAGTGGACACTGCTGCAAGGTTGCTGGGAAGAGTAAGGAGGGTGGTTGGATTTTTGCACCGTAACATAAGGGGAGCTGAAATCGTACGGGAAAAACAGCAGCAACTGGCATTGTCCTCCCACAAGCTCATGTGTCCACTCGTTGGAACAGTTCTCTGGACATGTTGGAGCTCTTTTTGGAGCAGCAACCTGCAGTTTTTGCCACACTTCTGTCAAGGGAGCTCAGAAAAGGGGAGGAGATGAACACTCTTAAGGAGAATGACATCTGCAACGCAGAAGATATAGTCAAGATGATGGCACCTGTCAAAATTGTGACCACTATCATTTGTGAAGAAGAACAGCCTACAGTCTCAATGATTGCCCCCCTCAGAGCAAAACTTCTTAAGCACTTTGAGGCATCTGATGAAGACACAGCACTCATCACTGAGATGAGGAAGGTGTTTAACAATGACTTTGAGAAACGGGACACCCACCTCCATGACTTCCTCTACACTGCATCTGCTCTAGACCCTTGCTTCAAAATGTTGCCATTCCTGAGTGACCATGATGCTGGGAAGATCTTCACAAGTATGTCAATTGAAGCTGCAGCCCTGCAAAACAAGGTAACCCAACACCAAACACACTCATTCACTTCAAACAAAATAAATGAATGCAGTGTATTCTAACATTCTGCTTTGAAAATATTGCTATCACGAACAGAATATGAATTTTAAATCTCACAACAGGACAAAAGATCTGCAAATCCATTGCTGACAGATCCAGCTCAGAGAAACAGTGTACATGGAGATCAAGACAACAGCATAGTTGCTCCACGGATCCAGGGTAAGCGAAAAGGTGTGTTTTTTTGTTTTGTTTTTTTATATCCTTTCTGAGGTATAAGAACATTATAAATACCTAATATTGAAGTGACAGAAAACTCAAGAGTAATGACAGCAAAACCAGTAATTTACAGAAATTGTTTTTTATTCCAGATACAGACCCTCCTTGCAAAAAGAAAAAAGTGCAGCACTGGACCAGCTGTTGGGAGAAATATTCGAAGTGAAAACAGCAGCAGCAAGATCTTCAAAGGACAAGGCCAGTGAGGAGATCATGAGGTACAGAGAACGTATTCCTTTGCCCCTGAATGACAACCCATTACAGTGGTGGAAAGCACAGGTGGACCTACCACTACTGTCATCTCTTGCAAAAAAAATACCTCTGTATACCAGCCACCAGTGTGGCATCAGAAAGGGTATTCAGCACTGCAGGAGACATTGTTTATGCACAACGCAGTGTACTGCGACATGATCATGTTGATCAGTTAATTTTCCTCAAAAAGAATCTCAACAAGCAAAGGGGTGTGTGAGATTACTATACTTACGCGTTATATTCTGCACAAGTATAGTAAAGTTAAAGAAAGTTAGTGTGCAAGGATGCATTCATATTTTGTCTCTCAAGAGACAAACTAAAAACAGGAATAGATGAGTGAAAAATAGAAAATGGGATAATATGCTCCTGTTATTCTATTTTGTTTTCCATTGTTTGTGGAGATTTTGCACTGTTCATAGTGCTAAAGACCTAGATGCACAGTACACAGCAGAATGGCACTTCGAAAAGTATTTGAATTTCTACACTGGTGCTTCCTAAAGCTGATGTTTAGTTTACAGTGTGGCACTTTATTGTATCTTGCACTTATATTACTGTGTTACTGTCACTGTTACACTTGATGAACAGCTTACTTATTGTTCTCTATATTATTGCTGCCTGAGCAAACAACAGTACAAAAACAGTTACTTGTCCAAAAATATCCTGTTTTCATCCTCTTTTATAGTTTTTTTTTTCTGTATTTTGTACAACTTGTAAACATTGAGATGTTTTCAGTGTTGAAAAGTTTTTGTAAAGTCTATCTTGTCTGTATGTATTTGATAAACAGTGACATTGTTCTGACCTGATACATTTCTCTTTAAGTTTTTTCAACACACAAATAGATTCAAGCATCGAATCGCATTGTATCGCAATGTATTAAAATGTATCATGAGTGAATCGTATCATAACCCATGTATCGAGATTCATATTGGATCACCTCTTAAGGTAGAGATTCACACCCCTACAGGGCAGTCATGGTGACATGAACCATCTTTAGTAGTTTGAGTTAAAAATCGAGACACATTCGGGGGACATGTCACACTTCGATCTATTTGCCAAATAGGGGAAAAATATCGGAAGTACAATTCCAACAATCAGTCAAACTTCTTTTGTACAGCATTGTATTCACTCTGCTGGTCAGTGCAATTCAAAAAGCTTTACGGGGGACTTGCAAACTGATAAGATCAAGTCAGTATATAACAGGGGTCGGCAACCCGCAGCTCCGGAGCCGCATGCGGATCTTTTATACCTCTGCTCCAGCTCCTTGTGGCTTTGGAAAATAAACGAGTATTTAATTTAAATTAATTTTTTTCAGTTTGTTAGTTATTAAAATGCAGTTCTGAATTTGAAGATTATGGTGATCTTGTAACATTAAAATATAATGTGTTTAATTTCTTTTTTGTCGCTCAAAATATGCGTCACACTCGCCGATGTGCGACACCCACCAGCACGTGCAGTGTTGCCAACACGTATTGTTCTGCAGTTACTGTCCTCAGCGAGCAGCGGTGCTGCCGTGAGCTCCTCCGTCCCAAAGCGCTGACAGGCGGTCAGGAGTCTGGTCAGCAGTCCCAGCTGCAGGCAGCAGGACAACCACATGTCATTTTGAATTTGCTGCAGGTGGATAATTTAAGTTCGGCTTTCTATTTCAGAAATACGAAGAAGACTCAAATAGACATTGAGTATTTTGTTTGAAAGTAACCTTCAACCCAGCGTATTTTTTTTCCAAAATGTTTTTGTTGCATGCAGAAATAAAATTTTGTTTTCTCTGTAGTAGTTCATTAATTTTATAAATGAAACACATTAATTTATTTATTTTTTTATATACATAGCATTAACGTAAAAACAATGTATGCAGTGTTATCTTCATTTTAGATGTCAAAAGGGTTTTGTGGATCCCGGTGTTTTCTTTTCTGTGGGAAACGGGTCCAAATGGCTCTTTGAGTGTTTAAGGTTGCCGACCCCTGGTATATAACAATAACAATAATAATAATAATAATAATAATAATTAAAGCCGCAAGCGGCGATGGACGGGTCCTCGCACCTACGCTTGTCGGCCTTCCGGCATGTCGAG